AAGGCTGGGTGTGTGTTGGGGTGTGGGGGGTGCAGGGCAGAGGGCTGAGTGTGTGTGGGGGGGTTCAGGGCAGAGGGATGGGGCTGTGGGGGTGCAGGGCAGAAGGCTGGGTGTGTGTTGGGGTGTGGGGGGTTCAGGGCAGAGGGCTGGGTGTGTGTTGGGGTGTGGGGGTTCAGGGCAGAAGGCTGGGGGTATGGGGGGTGCAGGGCAGAAGGCTGAGTGTGTGGGGGGGGTTCAGGGCAGAGGGATGGGGCTGTGGGGGTGCAGGGCAGAGGGATGGGTGTGTGTTGGGGTGGGGGTGGGGGGTGCAGGGCAGAGGGGTGGGGTGCTCGGCTCATGGGGGTGCTCCCAGCCCCCTGCCCTGAGCGGCTCATGCAGGGGGCTGGAAGGGATATGCCCTGTTCCACCCCCTTCCCCCAGGCTCCGTCCCTACCTCTCTCTGCCTGCTCTACGGAGCTGTGTGCATGCTGCCGCTCTTCCCCCTCCCCCTCGCTATGGCCATCAGCTAATTGGCCAGGGAAGGAGAGGAGGCGGGGCAGGAAAGCACAGGCTGGGGGAAGAAGCGGGGGAGGGGGGAAGCTTGGCTGCCGCAGAACCAAGCTTCTGCCTCCTGCCCCCGCATGGGAGAGTGGTGGGCGGTGGGCGGGGGGCTGAGTGGGGCTGGGGGCCGGGACCGCGGCAGGGAGTTGCGTGCCACTCAGAATCGGCTCGCGGGCCGTGTTTGGCACGCGTGCTGTAGGTTGCCGACCCCTGGCTTAACCTAACGTTATAAGATTTAACAATAGTTTACAATACGTAGATTGGGATACACAAGGACACCACAGAAGCTGGAAACAATGGATTTCTAGGGGATTTATGGTGATTTGTAACATGGAGAAACCACATTTATGTATTGAAACCACTGAAAAAAGAATGACACAAAAAGAGCTAATGCTAGCAACCAGAATCTAAATTATGGGTCCCGGAATGATAAATATGGGCAACGGACAGAGACCTAAAGCAAAGATGTGTGGGGGACATAAGGAAAATGGTATAAAAAGATGTTTGCAGATAAAGATATTACCTCACCTATTTCATCCCTTTTATAAAAAGATGGTCAGACCAACTCTTAGTTGAGACATTGGGACAACAGGATGCTGGAAACAGATTGTCACTGCCAACTTTGGGTGCTCTCCACTTACTGTTCTCTTCACCTTTATCTCTAATGGTCTCCATAAGAGTGCAAGAATGTGAGCTGTGGAGATTTTGTGTTATATGTATTTGTTTTCATATAATTATGCTTGGATTTATTTTGATTTTAAATAAATTTAAATAAAGTCTTCCTATTTCTATTTGTCTGATTCACCAATCTCACTTGATAATAATCTCAGGTAGCTCCCTGAGTAAGGAACCTGTTATTAGTGACCTGTGCAATTTGCACCTTAAACTTATCAATGGCTCCACTTGTCAGGTAGCCAGTTTTTAGTCCATAGCCACGATGATGTTCATAGATTCATAGATTCTAGGACTGGAAGGGACCTCGAGAGGTCATCGAGTCCAGTCCCCTGCCCGCATGGCAGGACCAAATACTGTCTAGACCATCCCTGATAGACATTTATCTAACCTACTCTTAAATATCTCCAGAGAGATAATGTTATTTATTAATAAAATGTGTAATTTCACCAGAAAGAGATATCAAGTTAATATGACAGGATCCATTTTCCATAAACCCACTTTGATTCACATTAATTGTATTGCACTCATTTAATTCTGTATTAAATGAGTCCCATATTAGAAGTTTTGCCTGGAATCGATGTCAATCTCACAGGCCTACAATTACCTAGGTCATGCAGTTCACCCTTTTTAAATATTGGAACAACATTAGCTTTCTTCTAATCTTTTGTAGCTTCCCCAGCATTCCAAGAGTTACTGAAAACCAATATTTATTATTTGGACAGCTTCTTGGCCACTTCTTCTAAAACTCTTAGTTGCAAGTTATCCAGACCTGCTGATTCTAAAATGTCTAATGGTAGCTGTTGTTTAACATTTCTCCTGAGTTTCTTCTTCATCATCATCCTTATCCTCATGTGATATGACTACATCATCTGACTTTGTCCCAAATATGGAATACAAAAATTAGTGAACACTTCTGGGGTTTTTTCTGCATTGCTACTGATAATTCTACCATTTCCGTCTAGTAAATAGACCAATTCCATTTTTAGGATTCTTTTTGTTGCTAGTATACTTTACAAATTGCTTCCAATTGTCCTTAATTCTGCTGGCTATAGAGTTCTCCTTGTATGCCTTTGCTTCCCTTATCAATTTTCTACAATTCCTGATGCCTCATATATACTCATTCTTATCACATATATATATAATTTTTATAACAGCCTTCAATTCCTCTCTAAGCCAGGTTGGTTTATTTTTAACTAGTGAAGCTTTCTTCTTTCAACCTCCTGGTAATAAAGCAGGAGGTGGATTAATTATTAATTATTATTAATAATCAAATTGTTATTTAATGTATATTATTGTAGCACCCAAAGGCCTATTCAGGTCACAGATACAGACACACTCCAAGATCCAGAAAGATGACAATTTTAAACACTCAAGAACAGATGCAGGATTGTATATAGGAGAAAAAACATACAAGCAAATTCACACGGTGATGATTGATGAGTAGTATAAGGACCCTACTATCAATCAAATGTTATCCCCACCCCTTGATCCCTTAAACCCTACCCACCTGTCACAGGAAATCCCACCCCGGGGGTATTACTTCCGGGGGTCAAGCCGGACACATGACCAGAAGCAAGGTGTGTAATGTGACCCCTCTAAGAACTCCTCCCATCGCCCTCTCCCAATCAGGATGGGTTTTGCCCCTGTAGGAACGCCCTGAGAGGAGATTTGACCAATTGGGGGGAGTTCTGGGGTGGGGTGACCCATCCGGAAGTGGGTCATGTGACCCCTATAACAACTCCTTCACCATCCTCTACCAATCAGGATGGGTTTCAGCCACTTGGGACCACCCCCGAGAGCAGATTTGACCAAAATAGGGCAGGTTCTGGGGTGGGATTAACCGCCCAGAAGAGGGTCATGTGACCCCTCTAAGAACTCCTCCCACTCCCCTCTGCCAATCAGGGTGCATCACCACCACCCCATAAGTCCCAGCGCCGGGCAGAAGAGGCCATCTCTTACCAAGAACGCGTGTTTTAGAAATCATGGAAATGCCGAGAGGTAACATGGACTCCTTCACCACCCCCATGAGAACTTCGGACTTTGTTTTAGTCCCGAGCACCTTTGGACTTGTGTGGAGAAAGCGCTACATCAGCAACAGTTCCAATGAGGGCCATTTGACTCAACTGTTGATGGATATGCCAGAAACCAACCCCGAAACCCAACTGCTTGTGGGGCAGATTGACGAGCGTGATGGCTTCTCCTTGTCCACGTCTATGGAGGAAGGTGACCTCGGCTTGGGGGAGTCACCAGTGGAGAAGGTGAATGGAAAAGACATCACTCAGGTAAATGAACGATTAAGAAGGATTAGAGAATTTGTGTGTGTGTGTAATAGGGTTAGGAACTGGGGTTGCGTAAATCTAAAACAAATAGTGGGAACTTAAACTGTTTCTTTTCTGAAAAAGTAACAAATGCTAGTAACAATAATAGGGCTCAGATGTTCTTAGACGTGCTAGCAGATGAATTCCTTCATCAAGTAGTAACTGAACCGACGAGGGGGGATGCCATTTTAGATTTAGTGCTGGTGAGTAGTGAGGACCTCGTTGAAGAAATGGTTGTAGGGGACAACCTTGGCTCGAGTGACCATGAGCTAATTCGGTTTAAACTAAATGGAAGGATTAACAGAAATGATACTGTAACTAAGGTGTACAATTTCAAAAAGGCCAACTTTAATAAATTAAGGCAACTACTTAGGGAAGTGGATTGGGCTAACATACTTAGGGATCTAAAGGCAGATGAAGCCTGGGATTATTTCAAGCAGAAGTTGCATGAGATGTCTGAGGCCTGTATCCCGAGAAAGGGAAAACGATTAGTGGACAGGAGATTTAGACCTAGCTGGATGAGCGGGAGTCTCAAAGGGGCGATTAAGAAAAAACATAAAGCGTACAGAGAATGGAAGAAGGGAGGGATCAGCAAGGAAACCTACCTTAGTGAGTTTAGAGCATGTAGGGATGCGGTGAGAAAGGCCAAAAGCCGTGTAGAGTTGGACCTTGCAAGGGGAATTAAATCCAACAATAAGAGGTTTTATAGCCATATAAATAGGAAGAAAACAAAGAAAGAGGAAGTGGGACCACTGAAGAATGTGGATGGAGTGGAAATTAAGAATAATCTAGGCATGGCACAATATCTAAATGAATATTTTGCTTCGGTCTTTAATAAGGCTAATGAAGGGTTTAGGAATAGAGGGAGTAGGACAGAGGGGAATAGAGGAGGGGGGATAGACATTACAGTATCAGAGGTGGAGGCCAAACTTGACCAGCTAAACGGGACTAAATCGGGCGGACCGGATGATCTTCATCCTAGAATATTGAAGGAACTGGCGCGAGAAATTGCGAGCCCCTTGGCGACAATTTTTAATGAATCTGTAAACTCGGGGGTGGTACCGTTGGACTGGAGAATAGCTAATGTGGTTCCTATTTTCAAGAAGGGGAAAAAAAGTGACCCGGGTAACTACAGGCCTGTTAGTTTAACTTCTGTAGTATGTAAGGTCTTGGAAAAAATTTTGAAGGAGAAAGTAGTTAAGGACCTTGAGGTGAATGGCAATTGGGACAAATTACAACATGGGTTTACGAAAGGCAGGTCGTGCCAAACCAACCTGATCTCCTTCTTTGAGAAAGTAACAGACCTTCTAGATAAAGGAAATGCGGTGGATCTAATATACCTCGATTTTAGTAAAGCGTTTGATACGGTACCGCATGAGGAATTATTGGTTAAATTGGATAAGATGGGGATCGATAGGAAAATCCAGAGGTGGATAAGGAACTGGTTAAAGGGGAGACTGCAGCGGGTAGTACTGAAAGGTGAACTGTCAGATTGGAGGGAGGTCACCAGTGGGGTTCCTCAAGGTTCGGTTCTGGGTCCGATTTTATTTAATCTATTCGTTACTGACCTCGGAACCGAATGTAGGAGTGGGCTGATAAAGTTTGCGGATGACACAAAGTTGGGAGGCATTGCCAACTCGGAGAAGGATCGGGATATTCTGCAGGGAGACTTGGATGACCTTGTAAATTGGAGTATTAGTAATAGGATGAGATTTAATAGTGAGAAGTGTAAGGTGATGCATTTAGGGATGACTAATAAGAATTTCAGTTATAAGCTAGGGACACATAGGTTAGAAGTGACTGAGGAGGAGAAGGACCTCGGAGTCCTGGTTGATCGCAGGATGACTATGAGTCGGCAATGCGACGTGGCTGTGAAAAAAGCTAATGCGATCTTGGGATGCATAAGGCGAGGTATTTCTAGTAGGGACAGGGAGGTGCTGCTTCCGTTATACAAGGCGCTGGTGAGACCTCACTTGGAGTACTGTGTGCAGTTCTGGTCTCCTATGTTTAAAAGGGATGAACTGAAACTGGAACGGGTACAGAGAAGGGCGACTAGGATGATCCGAGGAATGGAAAACCTTTCCTATGAAAGGAGACTCGAGGAGCTCGGTTTGTTTAGCCTAACCAAAAGAAGGCTGAGGGGGGATATGATTGCTCTCTTTAAATATATCAAAGGGATAAATACCAGGGAGGGAGAGGAATTATTTCAGCTCAGTGCTAATGTGGACACGAGAACGAATGGATATAAACTGGCCGTGGGGAAATTTAGGCTTGAAATTAGACGAAGGTTTCTAACCGTCAGAGGGGTGAAATTTTGGAACAGCCTTCCGAGGGAAACGGTGGGGGCGAAAGACCTCTCTGGCTTCAAGATTAGGCTAGATAAGTTTATGGAGGGAATGGTTTGATGGGATTACGGGATTCTAATCAATTAGGCAATAACGGCCATCGCTGGTAAAATGAGGGTCTGGCTAGAGAATCTTGCCTGTATGCTCGGGGTTCTGCTGATCGCCATATTTGGGGTCGGGAAGGAATTTTCCTCCAGGGTAGATTGGCAGTGGCCCTGGAGGTTTTTCGCCTTCCTCCGCAGCATAGGGCAGGGGTCGCAAGCTGGAAATCCTCTGCGACTTGAAGTCTTTAGATCACTATCTGGAGACTTCAACAGCAGAGTTAAGGGAAAGTGGGGGGGGTCAGCTTTTGTGGCCTGCATCATGCGGGGGGTCAGACTAGATGACCATATTGGTCCCTTCTGACCTTAAAGTCTATGAGTCTATGAGTCTATAAATCTCTCAACAGCTCAACAATGTCTTTCTAGAGGCCTTTGAGAACTTACACATTGGTAGCCCTGTGTGGGTAAATCTATCCTGCCTCAGCTGTTTTTGCTCCTGCCTGAGACAGGGATCTCAAGAGGACGATCCAGAAAATAACCTAATGGAGGAATGAACCAGCTCAGACTCCCTAATGGTAGGGGTCGTGGTGTTCATTTCCGCAGGTGGCTGTAAAAGATCGTGTTAAACCAGGCAATTAATAAAACTTATTTCAAAGTGTCAATGTGAATGTGTCCCCCCTCCATACTTATGTTAGTAAAAGACAATACAAGTAATAGTCATGTCTACGTATGCGGCTCTGTTAAAGAAAATACATTACACACCCAGGGAAGTTGGGAGCTTCGGCAGGGTGAACCCTCTTTTTCAAGTGTCCAAAAAGCATAGTAAACGTTTAAATAGAAGACAGGTAACAGCTTGGCTTTCAGACCAGGATGCTTACACTCTACACAAACCGGCTCAAATACGTTTTAAAAGAAACAAGACCATTGTTTCAGCTGTGGATGTGCAATGGCAGGCAGATTTGGTGGATATGCACCGGTTCTCCAAACACAACAGCGGTTTTAAGTACATCTTAACAGTGATAAGCAACAAAGAGTCCTGTGACACCTTATAGACTAACAGACGTATTGGAGCATAAGCTTTCGTGGGTGAATACCCACTTCATCAGACACCTGACACATGTGTCTGACGAAGTGGGCATTCACCCACGAAAGCTTATGCTCCAATACATCTGTTAGTCTATAAGGTGCCACAGGACTCTTTGTTGCTTTTTACAGATCCAGACTAACACGGCTACCCCTCTGATACTTAACAGTGATAGACATTCTATCCAAATATGCCTGAAAGACAGGACGAGTGGTGAGGTATCCAAGGCCTTTAAAGCTATTTTCACCGAAGGTCGCGTGCCTCAAAAATTACAAACCAATCGGGGGAAAGAATTTTTAAACAAATATTTAAGCAGATTGCTAAAGTGGCATGGCATTCACTATTTTTTTACTAATAACGAAGTCAAAGCAGAGGTTGTGGAGCGATTTAACAGAACTTTAAAAACTAGGATGTGGAGATATTTTACAGCCCATAACACCTTTCACTACATTGACGTGTTACCTGACTTTATAAAGAGTTACAACCAGAGCTTTCACAGAACTATACATACCAGACCTGTTGATGTTAACCCTTCAAATTCTCTGAAGGTATGGAAAATGGTTTACAGAGACGGTTTTAAAATAAAACTGGTTGTTGCCCTGTGATGGATTGGATCACAGAAACCCCCTTGGGAGCTGCCACCCGATGTGCCAAGAGTACTTCTAACCCTGCTTTCCCTGCCAACTCAGGACTCCAGCACCCTGTCTTGCTGAGCCAGACACTCCCGTCTGCTCCAACACAGACCCAGGGTCTGAATTACTTGCCCCAAAGCTGCAGATTTACCTGAAAGCAGCTGACAGAAGTGTTCCTGTCTTTAACACTCAGATGTCCAACTCCCAATGGGGTCTAAACCCAAATAAATCTGTTTTACCCTGTATAAAGTTTATACAGGGTAAACTCATAAATTGTTCACTCTCTATAACACTGATAGAGAGATATGCACAGTTGTTTTCTCCCCCAGGTATTAATACATACTCTGAGTTAATTAATAAGTAAAAAGTGATTTTATTAAATACAGAAAGTAGGATTTAAGTGGTTCCAGACAGAACAAAGTAAGTCACCAAGCAAAATAAAATAAAATGTGCAAATCTATGTCTAATCAAACTGAATACAGATAAGATCCTCACCAGTTCCAGAACACTCCCTTTTACAGACTAATCTCCTTTTAGCCAGGGTCCAGCAATCACTCACACCCCCTTGTTCCAGTTTCTTCCAAGTATCCTGGGGGGTGGGGAGGCTCTCTCTTTAGCCAGCTGAAGACAAAATGGAGGGGTCTCTCATGGGTTTAAATAGACTTTCTCTTGTGGGTGAAGACCCTCCCTCCTCACTCCTATGCAAAGTCCAGCTACAAGATGGAGTTCTGGAGTCACCTGGGCAAGTCACATGTCCATGCATGACTCACAGTCTTTACAGGCAGAAACCATTGTCCACATGGTATCATGTATGTCTCCAGGAAGGCTTCTTATGTGGATTGGAGCATTCCAAGATGCATTG